GAGGTGTCCGGAGAACAGGCTCTTGCCCATTATGAGCAATGCTGGTGGGGGAAAAGTTCAGGCGCCCGCGAGGGAACGTGGGTTCGGTGAGTCGATCTCGAAAGGCGATTCCTGAGCCTTGGCGTTGCGATGGCTGAGTTGTCTCGGTTAGAGATCTCGTCACCTCTTCGAACCGTTGCTGCCGGGCAGTTAGCTGTTGTAAGGTACGCTCGTTGTCCTGAGCTCTTTCTACCAACTGCACCATCATTCGGCGCATTTTGGATAGCTGAGCTTCCGAATGATGCGGGGTGTGTTGGCGTTGAGAATTCTCAGGGAGAGTAGTCCCGGTGTTGTTTCCACCGGAAGACCTCGGGTTAGCTATTCCAGTTCGGTTCGGTTGAGCGTTAGCCGGAGGCTGTTGCTCGGATCGCAGGTCAGCGGGTTGAGGTTCCGGATCCTGAGGGTCCGGGTCTCTTCTGTTCCGTGATCCGTCGATCTGGATCACGGGATCCGGGATGGATGGATTCGTAGCCTGGTTGGATGGATCCATTCTCAAGTTACGGAGTGAAGGATTCAATTATCTCGTCCCCACAGACGGCGCCAAAATGTGAGGGATAAAACTCACTTTATAATTTAGGTTAGGTTAAGATTGGGGAGAAGATAATCGTGGGCTGAATCCCTTAAGAACTTAGAGAATGAATACGTTGTTTATATTGATTTTGATGATAAAAGAGTTTACAAGGATGATCTTGATGATCTAATAGGAAGAACAATGATTGATCGAAAGTGATTAAGAACAAAGTATATTAGAGTCTTTTTATGTTGAATAGGTCGAATCCCCTCCTCTGATCTCTTCTTTCCTTTATATAGCTCTAGGTCACGTCCAACTTCTCCCGACGAAGCCTCCGTGATTATCTCCATGAGTTGCGGGATTCGCAACAGCTTCCGCTTGACTAAGTCTTGCACGTCTCTCTGGAGCTGTCCCTTGCTAACTGTTTTGAAAATGAGGTCCCGAGTCTTTTGTTCGTGACCTGTTTTCACCGATAGGTAACGGTTTCATGTGGTCCTCATTTGAGGGGAAGCTTCCTGATGGGCTCGTAATGCTTTGCAAACGGTTTCTACTATTCGGCCCATTAATTCAGCTAACGGGCTAAATTCGGGCCCAACAACAACCAAGCCCAAGTACGTATGTCATCACTAGATTGGTTATGTACTGGAATTGGAACAGAATTTATCAACACGTTTATAAACAAACATGCACGTTTATATTAACAACAGAATTTCAACTCACGTTTATAAACAACAGAATTTATCATGCTTCATTATAGAATAAACATGCACGTGTAAAATAAAACACCCAAATTTAGTCTTAACCAAATATAAATAAATAAACACCAAAGTCAAACAATGAAATCCCAAGTGTAAATAAAAACCAAATTCAAACAACCAAATATCAAATTTTAATAAGAGAAAAACACCAAATCAAAATAACAAATTCAAGCCTCTTCTTCTTCGTCTTCTCCATTGACAATGGATTCAAATGATGGTAATGTCTCTTCTTCGCCATCAATTTCACCTTCTGAAAAATATCAATAAATGAAGTTAATTACTCTTATTGGTCATGGTGTTGAATCTGATATAGTAATAAATCATTTACCATGCTCATAAGCTTCATATCCTTTGATCCAATTCCTTGTACATATCAGAGCTTGCACATTCTTTGGAAGCAGACGACTCCTGTATTTATTAAGGACTCGCGATCCAATGCTGAAAGAGGATTCTGAAGCCACTGTTGTGATAGGAATACTTAGAAGATCACAAGCCATTGCAGCAAGATCACCATATCTATGAGCATTATCTTTCCAGAAGTCGAGAATGTTCATGCTCCGGAAATTTTCAAATTCCAAAGCTGGCTCATTAAGATAAGCTTCTAGAGCTGTCTTTCCACTTGCAACACCATTGACTTTGCGAAATGCAAAGAATTCCTTAAAAGACTCAAAATAATTAAAAAAAATTAAAATATTAAATAGAATGCAAAAAAGTGGAAGAAAACACTCACATCATAGTTCCCAAACATTCCCATAGATCCTTCACCACAAGTTTTCTGTGGAACCGTCTCGCGTGGCTCTGTAGAAGGTGAGTTTGTCTTGGATTTTTTGTCATAAGACTCAAATAGAGTACCAAGATTTGTGCGCAAGTTCTTCAACTTCGCATCACCTGTGCTCATGTCAAGCTTCCCTAAGCAATATACGACAATTGGGAGCTTAAAACGTGGATCAAAGATTGCTGCCATTGCAAAAACTCCACTAACTTCTTTCCAATACTTATCAAACTTCTCTTTCATCGGGGGCACCATGTCTCTAATAATCTCATCTTCGCTTTCTTTATGCGTCTGAAGCCAATCATGGATCATCCAGACCTGATAGAAATACAAGTTCGAAGTCGGGTAATGCGAACCTGACATCAAACGTGTGATCTCAGCAAAAGGCCCCAAAAAACAGCTTATTTTTTCAACTCGTGTCCATTCCTCAGCTGTAGGTGCCATTTTGTAACCTCTCTTATCAAATGTCTCCAACTGAATGAATGCCTTTCGATACTTGATATCTCTTTCAAGCATATAGTATGTAGAATTCCATCTTGTTGAAACATCTAATATCAGACCCGCATCTTCCTCTATTTTCGCAGCAGCCACACATTTTGCAAACAATACTTCACGCGTTTGCGATGCTGTTACATACTTAACGCTCTCTCTTACTTTTTGCAAAGACTCTTTAATAACCTTCAAACCATCTTGCACTATGAGGTTCAGTATGTGAGCTGCATATCTGACATGAAAAAACTCTCCGGCACACAACAAGTCATCCCTCAACATCAGCTGCGATTTGACAATATCTTGCATCGAGTCATTACTCGTAGCATTATCTAATGTGAGGGAGAACACCTTTTTTCGATACCCCACTCTTGCAGCGATTCAAGGAGTTGTGTCGCAACTTGCATACCATTATGTGGTGGTGGTAGAGCACAAAATGTCAAAATTTTGGAGTTTAACTTCCAATTCCGATCAATGTAATGAGCAGTCACACACATATAACCCTCTCGCTTAAGAGACGTCCACAAATCAGATGTCAAGGAAACTCTTCCAGGAAGACTCGATAATTCCCTCTTCAGCGTATCTCTCTCGCTTTCATACAAGCGAAACACATTAGCCTTTGCCGTGTTTCAACAAATGAATTGGACATCATCATTCAGATACTTCCAAGTGGCTCTCACCTTTTCATACTACACATAGGAATATGGTAGATCATGCTGGACTATTGTCTTAGCTACCGGCTGCCTAAACACAAGATGATCATACTTGCGGGGTTGTAATTTGCCTTCACCATCGAGCTTCATCTTGCCGTTCATCCTTGTTATATTTTTGCATCTCTGCGTATGCCTTATCAATGCCGAAGTTCCATGCGAGTGGGAGCTCCAGGCATACTCATTCTTACAGTGATTGCATTTAGCCTTCTCCTCGCCATTGGGTTTTCGAATCACAACAAAATCATTCCAAACCTTAGACCTTTGCCTACTCTCCCTCTTATTGTCATCCAAATTGGGTTCATCAGAATCATCACCCACGTTAATATCCTCAGATTCCTCACCAGCCACTGGCTGCTTAGACTCCAGTTTTCTTCTTTCCATTTTTTGGAGTCGTCTTTGAAGACCTTCTTCCTCCATGTATTATAGCAACACTCGGCTTCTTCTTGCTTTGAGTAGCCTTTGAAGAGGTTGCAAATCCACTGGACATTGATGATCTGAAACTAAATTGCTTGCGAGGCTGGGAGGGTTGAGTTGGAGGAGCTGTTATTTCGACATCAGTATCGACTTCATCATCATCAGAACCAACTTCTATCAGCCTCCGTTTCCGCTCTTGCTTCTTTCCACCAGAACATAAATCCTCATCCTCAGCCTCAGCAGTAGCGTCAAGAGATGCCAGCAGTAGCGTCAAGAGATGCCAGCAGTCCTTGATTCTCAAGGTCACATGTACTCAATGGCTTGAAATGGATCATAAGTCGCAAATTCACAAGTATCCAGTAGCTTGAAATTGGGATCCTTCGCCTCTTCTTCTCTCAAGTTTCTTTGTTTGATTTTAGTTTACCTCACGAAATAAGTCGTGAGAGACTTGGAAGCCGTGAGTTTAGGTTTAGCTGTTAGGGTATTTTTGTATTTTTAATGTTAATTTTAAATTTTTTGAATTATCTTATTTCCTATTGGTCAAGTTTTATAATATTTTTGTAAGTTAACTCTACTGGCGATCAAGCAATATCAAGATTCAAGAGTCCGATAACCTAGCATGATTCAATTTTCTACTACACAAGTCAGTACCAGTCAGGGCAAGTACCTTTACACACTTTGAATGTTTGTATCTTGTTGAGATCAGAAGAGACGTGTCCTCATCAGCAGTCTTTGAGTGTTGCTTGCTGGTAGCTCGTTAGGATATTAAACTGAAAATTGAAACCAAAGTCAATTAACTTAAAAAGATTGAAATATGTTACAGGTATAGAACAAACTGAACGAGTGTTACAGGATATTACCAGTAGATAATAAATAGAAGAAGAGACAAGGTCCTTGAAGGACGACGAATCTAGGAAGCCAGTCATCTATTCTGCATCGTCTAGTGGAGGTGGTTCACCATGGAGAGCTTCCCAACGCTGAATTTGAAACAAACCAAAAAAAGAGGTGAGATTGTTAATAAGAATATACATACGGATTAATGGTAAGAGACTTACACTTCGGATAAAGAGATAGCCAGATAAACGAGCAGAACGCAAGACTTCATCCACATGTTCCAACCTTATGTTAGGAAAAGATAAAAACAGGAAGAAAGTTAGATAGGTAACAATAATAGTATTTATTAAGTCAAACACTTACTGTGCTTTGAGGTCAGATTCTCTTTCTTCTAAGTCAGAGAGTTCTGATCTAAGTGACTCTAACTCTGCTGCTGGTAGCTCTACCTGCCCAATAAGGATGATGATTAGAAGAAACTATTGTCATGAAATCAAAAAAAAAAAGCAAGGAAGAAAGGAACCTTCTCTTGACCATCTGAAACCCAAGGCAGACGGCGAAGAGAGAAGAGATTCAACATTAGTGCTGCTCTTTTCAGTTTCCTGCGAGTACTGGACTGGCTTTGACTAAGAGACCTATTCTAAACTAAAAAGATGTCAGCTCTGCTCAAACTAAGAGACCTTTTTAGCATGTTTATGTGCTAACAGGTTACCTTAAAGAAATGTTATCTTCTTTGGGGTGTGAAGTTGATGGAGAAGAAGAATGGTCTTGAGAAGCTTCTGTGGCGGTGGGAGTAGGAACAGTAACGTGATCAGGTGATATCTTTAATTTCCTAGGAGTACTATCATCCATGAATCTTCTGAACTCTGAGCTTTTAACAAGGTTCCACAAACTTCTGCAAGAAAAATGAACTACCTCTGCATAAATCAAACTAACGAGGAAACACAAAAAAGAAAGAGCTCAGTCAACAATAGAATCAAATCAAAGCAATCAATTATCACTGCAACACAAACAGCGAGCTTTAGAACTAATATGGCTCCAATAATCCATCAACGAATATCCAATTTTCTTGATTGATATTATATCTAAGATTAAATCACTATATAGATCTTTAAACCTGAAATACATGAAAACATGACAAGAGACAAAAAGACTTATTACCTTGAACACCAGATCAAACCAGTGAGAAGATTAGATCGTAGACATTGATATCAACAAGGACGTTCCGGTGGTTGGACGAGGAAGGAGAGTAGCTCCTGTGGTTGGACGAAACGGTATGGACATCGACAGAGAACAAGGTCGATGCTCCTCTGGTGATCAACTGAGCTTGAAACGGACGCCGGAGGTACTGTCGGAGCTCGAGGAGTGTCGTTGGTGATATCGTCAGTGATATCGCCTTCTCATCATCTTTTTTTTTTCAGGTGCCGACAGCAAGAAGGAAAAAGAGAAGGCAAAGCGGTCCTTTGCTAAACCCGCAAGACCGCAATGGCCCAAACCGCAACGGCCCAAACCCGCGAAATCAATACCCGCAAGGCCCGCTAATTATCGGGTCTATAATATGCTGGCCCAAACCCGCCCCGTATGGGCCTTTTATGAGACTAGCCCGCGGGCCGTGGTCCAAATTGCCATTCCTATACAACAGCTTTGGTATTTCACATTCACACGTCATGTCTAAAAAGTAAAAAACTGATTTCCCAACCCTATCTAACTATCGCTAATGTATATTTTAGACATATGATTCTTAAAATTTCTGATAATTTAGTTAATTTCTAATGTATTTAAAAATCTAAACAATAAAGATATTGTAACAGAAACTAGATTTTTATTGATATTAAAACAGATTTCAATTAATTGACTATATTACTAGATCATCTTGAATATGGATAGTGAGATAGTAAATGTGACAAGTGGAGTTTATAACAGTGGGAAAATATACAATGCATTTTGAAACTTGGAACTAGAAATAAAGTACAGAGCATTTTTGCTTTTGACTGTTTTCAACATCATTTAATTGTTTTCATTCAATTTTTCCATTTAGTTGTTTAAATTTAATTTTTGTTACTTTTATCAATTTATATTAATTCATCCCTATGCAGACTATGCTTTACAAAATATTTATTTTGTTTATTTAGTGGAGGAGTTTATACTAAGGATGAGTATTAAAATAAAAATCTGAAATCTGAACAAAAAAAGCTGATCCGCTATCCATCCAAAATATAAAAATGCACGAACGAAGGGTTCTGAATATAACGAATAACCCAAAAAATCTAAATTAATAAGTAATACAAATATTTGAATTATTTTGAAGTATTTCCAATTGGCAATTCAATGTTAATGTTGATATGATATATAAAAATAAATATTAAATTTTAAATAAACACCTTAAATACCCAATTAGTTATAATATAAATACTTCATAGTTTGCTTATTGAAATAACAAGTTTACATATCTATAATGTTATGCATACTTTTATAAACGATGTTTGTTTTCATGCTTGGTTTTATGTATTTATTGTTATTTTATCAATATGATATGTGTTGGATTAATATCGATTTAGTGTTTTTCTTTATGTTTTGTTTTTTTTTATTTTACTTCTAATATATCCGATCTAAACCGATATAACCCAATTTTGAATGATGTATACTTATTTTATAGTTTATAGAACACAATACAAATTCCAAACCAACCCGAAAAGTTATTATCCAAACCCGATCCATTCCAATACAATACTAGAATATGATTTAAGAATGTAAACCCAAAAATCTAAAATACCCAAATTGGTATCCGAACACTCAAATCAAATCTATACTATTTATATCAATTTTGCTTCTTTTTTCTCATTTAATATCTAAATACTTGGTTTCTGCCATTAAATATCAAATTAAAAACTTGTGTATCCAAAACAAAATACAACCAAGACACTTAGTTGTTGCCATTAAATCAAAACTATGAAAAAAATTAATTATTACCAATAAATTCAAAGAGTGTTATTAGCCATAACATTATTACTTTAGTTTTTTTAAATAAAATAAAATAACAATATTTCTAGTATACATTTTAAACCAACTATACTTCACAATTAAATATTTGAAATATCATTAGAAAACGAAGTGTTACAAAACTAAAAAACATATAACAAACCAAAAAAATGCCAACATAGCACAATATATAAAAACAAATATTGATAAGATCATATAAATATCAAATCCAATATTTGTTAAAAATAAATTAATAATTATTAATAATCCTACTTGGAAACAAGATTTAAAATTATAGTCAAAGTTTGTGCAACAAAAATGGTTATATATACAACAATAACATCATAAATACCAAAAATGTTTTTAGTTTTATATGTTTGTGAGTCTTAAACATCTGCATACAAGTTCACAAGTAAGTAAGGGCGTTCAGATATCTTTCAGTAGCAATCAACTCTTACAACAACAAAGAAGATGGATAAATAAAACAACAAGAATGTCATCAAAATAAAAACAAAGGATCGTTTGGCTAGTTACTTTTTCATGATCAGAAGCAAGTATTAAACCATCTCCATTGTTTTGTTCAAGATCAACTTTCCACACAAATCAAAATCAATTGTTTTTGTTTTCAACCACAGTTCATGTGATTGGGTAAATTGCATTATCAACATTACGACCCAAACCTACCAGCAACTGACCCTTCAAATTTGACTTCAAGAAACTTACATTTACTCCTATGAGAGACCTCCAAATATTTTTCAAGTCTGTCTAAATTTGTCAAAATAGACATAGAATTTGTTGAAAACATCTAATCCATCTAATCCATCCTTGTTCTGCACACAATCCAACTTAATCAAAGACTTCTCACTGGACACCCTTATCTCTGAGAAATAATAATGAAGGCGACTAACCTGCTCATCGTACTCTTTCAATCAACCTTAAAGCTTTATTCCTAGCATGTTGATATTGAGGCATTATCAAACTAAGCTTTCATTTCTCCATAACCAACTCCTCAGTCTTCATTGGCATGAAGTACTCATGTTCTTCTCGAATCTTGTCAACGAAGAGCCATACAATTACTGGAAATTTCAGCAGCACACATTTAACGGTAGGAACACAAGTATGAGTTTTCTTCAATATCTTCACTTCCCAATTATTAGGATACTTTCCCGAAGATGAGCATTATATGCGCTAAGTACAACCTTTCTCCAAACACAAAAACTCCAGCTTCGTCTTAACATACCAATTTTGTTAGATGTTACTCCAAGTTCTCAGAGCGTAGTCAACCACAGCTTCCTTGAACGTGATATCACAGATGAATACTTGTCTTTCATACAAGTTTCCATTGCCTCTCCTAATGTCATGTCTATGTACTTTGTTATTTAAGTTTCATTTCCTTCTTCCTCATTCTTTTCAGTTGCATGAGAACAAAAACAATCATGCAATCCTGTTAGGCAAAGCGTTTTAGAAGCTGAAGTTTCTTACGGTTGAAACAATAGATCTCATAGATCTCATCCTAAAGGAGGAAGAGAAGAAGGTACTCAGGAAGATGTTGTCAGTTGAACCAAGCATATTGAAAAGAAGAACGACATTCATAATAACTCCCTTGAGGTATGCAATACCGGTCTTGGGTACAAGCTCGACAAACATCAGTTTTCATCCATGTATAAAGTAACTAAAAATTTGGCCCACAGTTTTCAAAAAAATATCAATAGTTTATTTGGTTTAGTTAAAAACTGACACATGTAAATGTGATGAATTCGAATCACTCTGGACCGTCTTTTTTAAAGTTTCTTTTTTTTTTTTAAGTTTATTTGATGTTATAGGCTCATAAATTCTTTTTGTTTCCAACTTTTAAATTCTCCTGATTTGTTCAGAACATGAAAGCCCACACATAGCCTCTAAAATCCGTCCTTTTTCTTGACTAAAACGACAGGGGACGCGTAGGGGCTGGAGCTTGCTTGGATTATTCCATCTGAGCATATTCCGAACCGTAGCATCAATTACATCTGAGTATATTCCGAGCCGTAAATTAACTGCATTACCTCTAGATTCCAGAGGTATACGGTGATCAAACCCTTTTCAAAATGGAGGAAGCTCAGTTGGTTCCTCAAATAAGATCGTGAAATACTGTAAAAGACTCTTCAGGGAGGGGTTGAAACATCCCGACTCGGAAATATTTTAAAAACATGTTGAAAATTCTAAGTAAAAATATGACAAATTTTCAAAGAAAGAATACGAAGAAATACTGCGACTTTTTTAATGAAATTCGAGACCAAATATTTAAAATCCACACTATTACAATAAGAATGTTTGATCAAAATTCTTAAGAAAATATCCCAAGTTACAACACTCCTTCCCAATGTTTTTATAGTTTCGCACTCTGGTCCACACAATCAAACATTACTTGCATCACATAAAGAGGCATAAGCATACAAAAATACTCAGTGAGGATGCTCAAAATCGCCCACATGCAACCCATAACATCTATTAACCTAGCGTTCCAATCCTAAGCTCTCTCTCCAAGGTAGCAAGATTTCCTCTCTCACCAAAAGTTAGATCTCTCTAGGTCTCTAGGCTCTCTCCCATAGAAATGATACAAAACCCGATTAATATAGCCTAACAAGTGGCCAGGGACTTATGATGTAAATATCAAAACTTTGGGTAAAACTTGTAATATTCTAATTTATCATTAATTCGCGAATGGCTTCACAATCGATCGGTGGTGAGGATCAGTTATCGATCGATGCTTCAGGGTGAATGTTGGTCGATATTATGCTTCAATAATCGACTGCTCATAATATCTCCAAAATATCCCAAAAATCATCACTTTCTTCAATTAAATACATGATCCTGTAATTATTCAAAAAAAAAAAACTCCAAATGCATATAAAAGACTTTGAAAGCATATCTAAATTATGGTTGAAAGTGGGTAAAATCCATGATCTATCAATTTTCTAGGATGAATAGTAAACATAGGGTTCCTTATGGTAGAAGAATTCTCCCGAACCGAAAATATTTAACCTAATTATTATTATTATTTTACTTTATATAAATAAAATTTACATATTTTTTTCTCTCAAATGTTTGCAACAACAATATAATGTTTTTTATTTTAAAACTATCCAACCTTTCTTCAATCTCTTTGAACTTGAAAATACCAAATTTTGTATCAATTTTTTCCATTTTTGTTCAGGTCTTTCTCACAACTTTATTTTTTTTGCAGGTTTTCAATTTCATGAAATACTATAATTTTTTTTATTTTTTTTATTTCCAGTATTGTAGCACTTCATTATTTAATGATATTTGAAATAATTAAAGTAAGTTTGTTTAAAGGTTATACTATAAGAATTTTTTTTATAAAACTATAATGTTAATGTTATGGCTAATTAACCTTTATTCTATTGGTAATAATAAAATTTTCATATAGTATTTATTTAATGGCAACAAACCATGTATGTATTGTATCTCCAATACACAAAATGATGTTTTTTTTTTAAATTTGCTATTTAATGGCAGCAATCAAGTATTTGGATACTAAATGTGGGAAGAAAAGAAAGCAAAAAATGATATGAAAATATAGAGTGTAGACTCCTATAAATTGAAAAAAACCTATAATGCAGAACATGCATAGGCTACACAGAGATGACTTAACATAAACATATAAAAAAACAAAAACTGAATGAAAACAACTAAATGATGCTGAAAACAGTCAAAAGAAAGATGTTTTGTGCTTTGTTTCTAGTTCCAAGTTTCAAAATTCATTGTATATTTCCACACTGTTTAGAAACTCCACTTGTCACATTTACTTTTTTCATATATATATTTAAGGTAATCTAGTAATATAATCAATTGATTTAAATATTTTTAATATCTTTAAAAATCAAATCTTTGTTACAATGTCTTTATTACCCCTGTTACAATATCTTTAGTTACATATCTTTATTGTTTAGATTTTTAATATATTTGATATATAGAAAACTATCAGATATTTTTAGATATCATATGTAAGATATACATTAGCCATGGTATAGTTAGGTTTGGGAATCAACTTTTAGACATGACGTGTTAATGTGAACTACCAAAGCTTTATGTTGTATATGCTGAGATACTAAACAATCAAACAATATTTCATTTTAGAAGCATCATAATTCATACATAAAATTTATAAGAATGAAAAAAAATTCAAAAAATTATTACATGCAAAATCTCAAAAATATTGAAAATAATAAACTATCAAATCAGTAAATACCAACAAATGACCTCAATAATTTCAGTTCGTCAAGATACTCGGTAAAATAAGTACAATTTTAGTCTATTAAACATTTTCAAAGAAACGTATTAATTTCAGTTCTTCAAGATACTCGGTAAAATAAGTACAATTTTAGTCTATCAAACATTTTCAAAGAAACGTATTTTGTGATATGTGTAAACTCTAAAGAGATATTTTAGTATAATTGGTTCGTCTTATTAAACTTAGAGTATCTTATCAGATCAAGGATTTGAGAGTATTTTATTTTTCTTTCCAGTTCCTTTTTATTGTATCTAACATCTATAAATTATATATACAATTTAAACTAATTAGATTAAATTTTTATAAGTTTTTTCTAAATTTCAGATTATTGGAAAATGTGGTTTTGTCAATAAACTTATAAAAATGGGATTTAGTGGGGTTTGGATCATATTTTATAGTGAAAAACAATGAATCATACCACCATCTATAAGGGTATCAGGTGATCCTATAGGACTTTCAAGTTATAACAATTGTTGTAGAGTAGGTTTTTGTATGTGATTAGTAAGAGTTTAGACTTTAGACTGATAGGCTGGTGACATCACAGGCGGATAAAGTAAAGACTGGACACAATTCTAGCTACTTCTTTCTTAAAGGTAAACACATAATTACAAATGTTTGGTTTTTGATTTTAATGTTATCACTAAAAGTTATGATCATATAGCAATTTGTTGAGGCAAGACTTGGGGATTCGCTTAGTAGTGCTCCTTCTTGCTCGTGGTCTTCAACCGCACCCCAGGAATTAGAAGGAGCTCCTAAAGAAACACTTTCTGCTAATGCCGGTTTTGTTACTTTTGGTATGTCATCTCACTAGAAAAAGTGTTCAGTTTTGTTTCAGTGTCTGCTTTCATAGTAATTAACATTGGATGATGGTAGTCTTTTTTTTTGTTTGTTCAAAGATCGATGGTAGTCAATAGTCATAATGCCTCAGCATGTGGAGGGGGAAAAGCTAGATCGTACTGTATGGAATTTGTCAATCTTTCATGTTATGTTAGTTACCACATCAAGGTTAATCTTTCTTTCATTTTGCTCTACATAGAGACTCTAAACCTCCTCTTTGCGCGATTATAAAACAGAGTTTCTTGTTGTTTTTTTGGTATTGTATGACAGTGCTCAGAGGACTTAATGCACACTAGGATGCGGCTTCGTGTGGAGTCTATGATTCAACTGTTTCAAATGTGTTGTTTAGTTTCATGTTGCTTTCTAATTGCTAGACATTATCTGTGTTGTCTCTGTCTCAGGCTCTAGATCAAGCTAAGCCATTGGAGAAAACAATACCCATGAACAACAAGTCATTTAAACGGCTAGTAAGTTTCTAAAACCGACTTTTAAGAGTTTTTTCTCAGTAAACATTGTCTTTGAACTATATAAATTAGGGCTAGGCACAAATACTTGATAGTCGGATTATATTCGCTACTTAACTCGGCTCGATTTGAAAAAACAAGTACTTGTTACAATCAAGTCGAGTAGCAAGTAAACATATTTTATTACTCGCAAGTACAAGTCAAGTATCAAGTTCATTTTTATTTTTAACTACTTGGTTTGTTATTTGGTTTGTTACTTAGTATCATTTACTTATCTCATTATTTGTTATATATTATTTGGTTTATTAAATATTCAATATCTGTTTTATTAGTTAATTAAAATTTATATTTTATATTTCATTGGTGACCATAATTACTCGTTGTTTGTCTCTTATTCGGTATTTGATGAATAAATAATCTTTTAAAATTAGTATTTGTTATGAACAACTTAAGTATCAAGTAATCTATTTAAATTACTTCTAAGTATAAAGTAAATATTAAATAAATTAATTAATTGACGTTGTTTTGTTTGTTACTTGTGTTTGTTAATGAACAAATATATATTTTCTTAAATCATAGCAAAATAACTCAATTCTATTTCCATTTTCATAAGTACATCAAACCTAAGTGTTATATTTATATAAGCATCTTGAAGTTTTCTCTTTCTTATATAGTCCATTTTTTGAATGACTTAAATACAAGAAAACAATAACATATTATTTCTATAATAAATTTATTTAACTTTAAATTCTAATGAACTATCAAATAATTAACCAATAATTATGAATAAATTTATAAGTAATTTACAAGTAACAAGTAATAAAATAAGTCAAGTAATTTACAAGTCCCTCAAATTTTTGTAAATACTTGAAATTACAAGTATTTGTTTTTAGCAAACCAAGTACAAATCCAAATATTTACTACTAGTACAAGCCAAGTCAAGTACTAAGTGTACCAAAAATACCAAGTACTCGGCTTGTGTCCACCCCCTAGTACACCAATTCCAAGTAGTTCCATCTCTCACTAAGCAATTTTGTAAAGCCTTGTGAGTAGCTGCTAAGACATGTTTTTCCCCCACTAAGGTGTTGTTCGTTTGCTCACCAAGGTGATCCATCGTGATGGAGATGCAAATTGATGTTCGTTTTATACATTAAAAATGCTATATTCAGATGGATACCCAGCTGAATTTTTAAAAACTCATCTCAAATTTTCATCCAAATGAGGGTAAATCTTGATGGTGCATCTGGATGCAGATGCATCTAGTTTAGTCCAAAATGAAAAATGACAAAAATAATCTTTTAAAATAAATATATATTTTCAAACCAAAATCCTAATTTTTTTCAAATATTTTTTTTCCGTAAAAACCGTAAAAACACATTTTCCCGCTAAAATCGCAAAACACATTTTCCTGCCAAAACTGGAAAATATATTTTTCCGCAAAAACGCATTTTTCTGCCAAAACTGAAAACGCATTTTCCCACTAAAATCACAAAAACACATTTTCTCGCCAAAATCGGAAAAACTCATTTTCCGACCAAACCCGAAAAATGCATTTTCCCGCCAAAACCGGAAAACGTATTTTCCTGTCAAAACTGGAAAATGCATTTTCCTTCCAAAACCGAAAAGCATATTTTCCCGCCAGAACCAGAAAAAACACATTTTCCGCCAAAACCGGAAAATGCATCTTCCCGCCAAAACCAGAAAACGTATTTTCCCACCAAAACCGGAAAACGTATTTTCCCGCTAAAACTGGATAATGCATTTTTTCGCCAAAACCGTAAAAATGCATTCCCTCCTCCCTAAAACCTTGAAAACACATTTTTCTGCCAAAACCGAAAAACACAAGTTTATAAAAACACATTTTCCCGCAAAAATTGCAAAAACGTATTTTCCCGTCAAAATCGGAAAAACACATTTTCTGCAAAAATCGTAAAAAAATAAATATTTCCTAGCACGACAAAAATACATTTTTCGACAAAAATGCACTTTACGTCAAAATCCATTTTTCCATCAAAACGCTTTTTCCATCAAAACTGTAAAAATGAACTGTTCTGCAAAACCCGTAAAAACGCAATTTTCCGTCAAAATTGTACAAACGCCCTTTCCATTAAAACTTAAATATGCATTTTTCCATAAATATTTCAAAACACACTATCTTGTCCAAATCATAAAATTGAATTTTCAGTCAAAAATCACAAAAATACATTTCTTTGCCAAAACGGTAAAAATGTAATTTTCTGATAAATTCATAAAAAGACACTTTTTCATCAAAACCATAAATGTTCTTTTTCATCAAACCCACAAAACAAAATTTCCCGCCAAAAATATAAACACAAATCAATTTTTTTCTTTTTATTAACAAATCCATCTCGATGCAGATGCAAGTTTAAAAAGAAACTAAACAAACATAGTTACATTCAGATCATTCATCTGGATGCATAGACGAAATAGAGAAACGAACAACATCCAGATGGAACATTTGGATAAGGCATTTAGATAGAACGTCTGGATGCATCTTTTAGATGTACAAACGAACATGGCCTAAGTTCATTTTTTTTGTTCAGAATGTTTTTCTTAGTACAATTCTTTTCATATATTTTCTGATCAAATGTATGATGTTAAGAACCTAAAAGAAATTCACCTTATCATAGATATATCAATGAATTGGATAACTGAAGCTCGTTGTGATATCATGAAGTTCAAGTTTTGTGGATCTTAGTTTAGTAGCTAGTGAAAAGAAGATTATAAGGGGTCTACCAAATAAAAGGAGAAAAATAAGGGAAGAACTTGGTAAAGCCTCTCCACGCACATATCTTTTATTTTGTCTTTCTGGTTGTATATTCTGTTTAAGATTATTGTAAAAAAAAAACACAATATTGTTTGAATACTTTCGAGTCCCAAAAATAATGAATGTGCTAGCTAGTTTTCATGGTCCAGTTTATAAAAACCAATTAAAGAAAAAATGTCAATATATAATGGCTTCGTCCAGGTTCGGACTTCGGAATGGAGACCTTCAGTGTGTTAGACTGACGTGATAACCAACTACACCACGAAACCTTAATCAAAATAATGATAATGCTCGTCAAACTGTTCTTTATATATACGTCGGCTCATTGAAAAAGACCGTGCAGCATTATTTTCGAACAGGAGACCTTTATTGTGTTAGACTGACGTGATAACCAACTAAACCACGAAACCAGTATAGTTTCCTAGTTATCTTGTGTTCAGTAATGTATTGTATTACTCTTTACTACTCTTCTTTTTTTTTTTAATTCATGAGGCTTGTACTGATAGTCCATTAAAATCCTCATAGCCAGTATGTACCATTGTTTATACTTATATATATAATATACCTCTTCCCAATATACACATTTTTAGTGTTATTGGGCAGTCTGGACTATTTTGTTATTGATTTTTAGTTATTAGTTATTGGACTATGATTTTCGATATGGTAGGTAGAATGTATCTTTGAACATTTCTTAAATTATATTTTCAAAACAGAGGATCTTTCCAAAAACTCTCTGAAAATAGAGGATCTTAAGAGTTTGGAAAATCATTTAGAATCTTTCCAAATGAAATTTATCTGTAAAGTGCGATGAATATATATATATATATATATATATATATATATATATATGTATATATATATATATGTATATATATATATATTTTATTTTATTTTGAAAAAGCTTTCAAAAGGGCTGAATATTCGAATGTCATTGCCGATGTTAGTAGATTCTCCATGCAGGAGAGATTGAAAGGATCAGTTGTACTGAGGCTTGTTGACTTCTCTTTGCGTCATCTTAACTGTTATAGTCCAACGGAATATATTATATAACTACTGAATTGTCATCAAACATATATTAAGCTAATAGTATGATTCAATAGTATTGACTTCTTTAAGCATAAACAGTACTAAATATTATATCAAATATATTGGTTTTGCACATCACTAATATGGTTTTGTACTGTACTATCTACGAAGATTAATGTTTTTTTATTAACCTGAGAGTATCTCAGACCTGTGGAAAGTTCTAGACTAATCTTCAAAGAGAATTACAGTTTATGGATAAACTTTCTATGCAGGTATGCAAATGTACCGTAAGCATGGACCATATCCGTATATGTGTCCAGAACAATGTGATTTATTTTTATACAGTATGTGGGTCGAGCTTGAAATATATTGGCATCCCAAACTCTCAATCTTATCACTTGACTATAAGGTCTCAGATACGAATTAATGTTAGACACTATCTATTAAACTTAATAGTTTTTCAAATTCAAAGCATATTGGTTTTATACGAGTGTCATATTAACACTATGTTTTAATATGATTAAAATTGTGTTACTATCATACTCGCAGGCTATAAAAGAGAAGTACTCAATCCCTCTGCTTGAGGACCTACTTGGTGAGTTAGGTGGAGAAAAATAATTCACTAAACTTGATCTGAGGGCCGGTTTTCATCAACTTAGGATGTCATCAGATGATGTCTACAAGACAACTTTCAAGACTCACTCCAGCCCTTACATACCTTGTAATGCCGTTCGATCTCACAAATGCTCATTGCACTTTCTAGATCTAATGAATCACGCTTTGAAGGTGTTCTGTGAAAATTCCTCCTGGTATTCTTCGATGACATACTAGTATACAGTTCTTGCTAGGAAGATACCTTACATCATCCGAGAGAGTTATTCAGCTTCTCCAACAGGCGCAGCTGTATCTGAAACCATCAAAGTGCACGTTTACAGCCACAATTATCGAGTATCTTGGCCACTTTATATCTAAGAATTCCATAAGCACTGACCCTAGTAAGATACGCTCCATTGAGAAATGGCCTACTCATACAACACAAAAACACCTCAGAAGTTTTCTCGGTCTATCTAACTACTACCGTAGATTCATCATGGGATACACAGTGTGGTGGCCAAACCTCTTACTACTCTTCTCAAGAAAGATGGTTTCTCATGGGGTTCAGAGGCTATATCCGCTTTCCAAGCTATCAAAACTGCCCTCT